ATAATATAATATAATATAATATAATATAATATAATATAATATAATAATTAAAGTAATGGACAAATGGGCAAACTGAATATTCCTACAGCAACATGTAAAATTATATTGCCTTCCTTTTGTAGTACTAAGAAGACATTAAGATGTAATTACCCTGTTTCCCCAAAAATAAGACCCAGTTTTATTTCCTTTTGGGCCCCAAAATAAGCACCAGGTCTTATTTTAGGGGGAAGTCTTACCCACTTACCTTAGAACCATCGGAGCCAGGCCTCCCACGCCATGACATATGTCGCACCGCTGCCTGACTTCTGTTGTGGTCACTCAATGCCTGACACTGCATGGCTAATCACACCAGTGCAGCCATTCACGGCAGGAGGCTGTGTGGCGCATTGTGTGAGCAAGCAGTTGAACCGGTGTGGCATGTCATGCGGTGTCCTGCTGTGAGCGCCAGGACCAGCACAACAAACCATGCAGCAGGGAGGCGCTGGTGCGATGTTCCATGCGACCTCATGCCATGAGCGGTGGCACCGGTGTGATGCACTAGGTGGCATATGGCTGCAAGCAGCCGCAGAACAAGTTGGGCAGCAGTGCGACAGGTGTCAGGGTGTCCTAACATAAGCAAGTGCGGGGCCTGTGGGACAGCTCCAACCCTCCTGCCCTAGCTTGATTTTTACACATGCACCTCTCCCCACCTCGTACAACCAGATGGTGGGCAGGGCTTAACTAGGACTTATTTTTGTGGTAGGGTTTATATTAGGCACAGGTGTGAAAATCGGGCTTATTTTTGGGGTAGGTCATATTTTCAGGGAAACATGATGCTACTAAACCAGCCTTTAGCTCTTCTAACCTGTCATAAACAACCATGACCCCTGGCTGAACCAATACTATGTTCCATTTCAGAATCTTGAACAGCTTATAGAAACAGGTATTCACAAGCTTCTCGAAAAAAAGATTCAAGTCCTATGAAGAAGTGTGCCAATTATTTTAGATGAGAACATTTGTATAATTGCACTCAATAGCAATGGAAATTTTATTAAACTGAGAAGAGGAAATCATCTGGATAAGGCAAAATAAACAACATGTTTAAAATATAATGAAATGATATGACTGGCAGCCCAGCTAGAAACAGCAATGTAATGGGAAACATGAATGATCTTTAGCACTTGTCTGACATTGCATCAATATTTGCCAATAAAATAACAGGGCAAGTTTAGACCTTATCGCAATGAAGATTTCTAAACACCAAGAAACCAAGAAGCCACATTTCTACCACCTGAACACTGTCCATTTTCCATATGGTAGACAATGCTACAACTTTGGAATATGGTTATTAGTAAACCTTTCACAATAGTTTAGATGAAATAGCATTCTGTACCAATGGCTTTCTATTTTTGAGGTGCTGGTAGTTATCTTTCCATTCTGTTAGATCTGGGAGAGGCATGCTCTGAGTCCTGTCCACCAGGGAGTGTCATCTGGTGGTGGGCAGGAAGGAAGCCTTTTCTGTCATGGCCCTGTGGAACATTATTCCTCTAGACCGGACTTACTCTGCTGGCCTTTTGTAGAGTCTTGACAACCTGGTTTTGTTGTTGAACCTTAGGCCCTAGAAGTATGGGAACCTGCTGTATGGGGTAATATTAATTGTCGCTGTTGGTTGTTTTTTTACAGCTGTTTTTTTATTTACAATTTATATTATTTATAATTTCATTTAACTGTTTTATCCTGTTTTATTAGGCACCTAAATCATATATTTGACATGAACAGCCATATTAAGCAAACAAACAAATAACATTAGTGGATTAGGTTTAAGAAATTGGAATTGTACTTACAAATATGACATTTTGCTTGGTATTAATTCTTATCTGTGTTTAACATATAAAAATAAAGGGGAGGAAAGACATTCCAAAGAAAGTTAGCAATCAAATTTGGCGACAATTGACATTGTTTACCTAATTTGACAAACAGCCAAGATTTGAGCACGACATGTCTCTTCGTTCTGTGGTTTCAGCAACAGAAATGGAAGTTCAGCTCTAAGTCTAGCAGACACTTTCCCAGACTGTGCATAATCCATGATGTCATACACTATCATTGCTCTAGGCCAATTTTCCAATGTCAGCCTTCTCCAACAATTATGTCTGCCACCATAATATGCTGGAGTTTCATCCATATGACTGGCATACTAAAAAGTCATAAAGAAACATTTATGAAATGTCAAATATAATTCAATTAAGTTTGCGTAGCTTAATTATATATTTATTTTATTTTATTAAATGTATATGGCTTCCTATCTCACGTGCATGTAATTCTCAATGGCATATATAACATAAGTAAAACCATAATCTTCTACCAAGAAAAAACAATTAAAACCTACATTTAAAATACAATAATAAAAAGACAGAAGAGAATGCTATGCACTGTGGCAATATAACCATTTAAAAGGCTCCATGACAGCGTTGGCAAACCTTTTCAACACTGAGTGCCAAAATGGGAATGCACACGCAAGCGCGCACCCACCCACTTGCAGGAAACCAAAAGAGCAGATGATCTTCCAGTTTCCAGTGTACCTGGTCTTCTGGTTTCCAGTGTGCCTGGTCTTCTGGTATCTGGTGCACATGCACACAAAGACCAGCTGGCTGGTGCTCATGCACCGGCTTCACCTGGCCTTTTGGGATCCTCTCGCCTCCCTGCCTGCCTACCTGTTCCTCATTGGGATGGCGGGACATCCCCAACAATGACCCAGTTCCACAGCCTGAGACAGGGAGAGAAAGTTGGGAGGGGAATGCTGCCTCCCTCTGCTGGAAAACCAGGGCCCCTTCCTGGCCTCAGGGGTGTCAGTGTTCCTGGGGCTTGGGTTGGAGAGCCAGCAGGTGGGAGAACTTTGCCCCAACTCTGGCCAGGATGAAGCGCCCCTCTCCAACCCGCCACCAAGAACAAGACAGTGGAACCTCCCCCACTTCTGCCAAGGGAGCGCGACTGCTTCCTGGCCAGCGTGCCACTTACCCCAGCACCGGACAGATGTTTCTCCTGTGTGGAGTCAGCTTCTGCACAGTCCTGCCTCCCCAGAAGAGCAGCAGCGGCAACCACAACAGGCGAGAGACAGGAGCGAGAACTGCTGCCACCCTTTCACCCCCAGTGGCAGTAGGACAGCGGGCAGGGCAGTTGAATGCCCATCCAGCAAACATTCCCTCCCCCTCTGCTCCTGCTGCCGCTGGGGGCAAAAGGGTGGTGGCAGTTCTTGCTCCTGTCTCTTGCCCTGTTGTGACTGCCATTGCAGCTCTTCTGGGGAGACAGGGCTTTGCATGTGAACCATTCAAGTAGTGAAAAAGGTGAAATATTTAGGCATATTCTTAACAGCAAGATGCATAACCCTAAAAGAAGACAATTATACTAAATTAATAAACCAAATCAAGACAGACCTAGGAAGATGGAAGAATCTGCAAATCTCAATGGGTAGGATAGCCATTCTAAAAATGAATATACTACCAAAAATACTCTATCTATTTCCAAATATCCCTATAAAATCAGAGAAAAGCTTCTTTAAGAATTTAAATCAATTAATGTCAAAATTCATATGGCAAGGAAACAGGCCGAGAATTAAGCTGAAACTAATGCAGGACACCAAAGAGAAAGGAGGTTTTGGCCTGCCAGAATGGGAATTATATTACCATGTGGCAGCACTTACATGGCTAAAAGAATGGATCAGGTTAAGGAACAAATGACTGCTAATGTTGGAAGGTCATGACATCCAAACGGGTTGGCATGCTTTCTTGTGGTACGGAAAAGGTACAGCGCATAAATATTTCCAGAGACACTATCTAAGACAGGCACTATTAACAGTATGGAATAAAATTAAACACCAAAATTATATGGAAACCCATATTTGGCTCTCCACACTTAGAAGCACCAATCCACCCTAATTTGATAAATATGGAGAAAATTGTCAGATATAGAGATATACTGAATGGGCAAGGAGAACTGAAAACTAGAACAGAACTGACTGCACAGAAGGTAAATTTAGAGTGGTGGTCCTATCTACAAATTCAGACGAGATACACATAGGATAGTGTGGGGCTTGAGTACAGAACCAACAACTCTAGACAAATCATAAAAACAAAACAGATTCTAAAAACATAAATACATAAATGATTTTTTTGTTACACTATTGTTATTGTTACATGTTGACACATGTTTTTCCTTTGCTTTTTCCTAATGTATTTTTTTTTAGTATTTGTTTTGTTTTTATGATTAATTTGCTGTAACCTATTCCATTTTCAGCTAGAAACATATACATATATTGGTGATATAGATATACACACATATGTATATCACCAATCATCACATCTCTAGTGTTACCACAGGTAACATTTATGTATTAATATATGAATACATTTAGCAACAAAAGAACCACCATACATGCTCATTTTGTCCTTTTATCCAAACTGAATAGCTTTAAACACTCCCTTTATTCCTTCTTAGGCTAAACTTTTATCATTTACTATTTTTATCAGATTCAGCGAACAAGTTTCTGTCACACTATGTAAAATATTCCAAAATGCTATCCTAGTCATTTTATGATACACTTTCTCTAAATCAAGGAATGTGCAATAAAAATATTCATAGTAAAGAGACAGAACCGTAAATATTGACCTTCATCATTTTCATCATGGCTTTAGTCAGCTAAGTATTTCACATAATGCTTTTTAGTAAAAATAAAGAAGAGGGTGCTTCAGAGATGTGGTGCAAGTTGGGTAAGTATAGGGAAGGCACAGTGCAGGGTGGTGATGTTGCATGTGAGTGTATGAGTTGCAAGCATGGCACAAGTGCAAAAAGCCTAGGGGAAGGTGCATGGGAGGGGGACAACTTACTCCAGCAACTTTGAACCTTCTCTGTTGTCTTCCCCAGAAAATTAATGGGTTAATTGTGGGATGCTTGGTAATTGGTCATAAGCATTAATGGGTTGCCAAGCAATCAGATCCCTATCATGTGACCAGAGGGATGCTGAGACAGCCTGAACTCTGAGCACCAGTTGTAACCACTATTGGAACAATACCTGACCAAATGGCTATAGGTCAAGGATTGCTTATAATGAGATGGGTGGAGATTATGACAACTACAGGCGGTCCTTTACTTACAAATGTAATAGGGATCAATAAATTTGTTATTAAGGGGTAATTTGTCATTAAATGAGGCATCATATGACCACATCCAATTTTATGAACTTTTTTAACCATGCTTATTAAACAAATCACACAGATGTTAATCAAATCATGTGGTACCCCACTGACTTTGCTTGTTGGAAACTGGATGGGAAGGTCACAAATAATGATCACATGAACCCAGGTTGCTGCAACCATCATAAATACATGCTGGTCCCAAGTACCTGAATTTTGATCATGTGACCACAGGCAATCTGTGGTAGTCGTAAGTATTAGGACTAGTCATAAATCACTTTTTCAGTATTGTAATTTTCAATGGTTGCTAAACAAATGATGAGGGCAATCTGTATTTTCAAATATCTAAAGAGTTGTCAAACAGAATATCAGGGCCTGTTTCCTGTGGTATTGTCCCAGAATGTAAGATATGAAGTGATTATTTTAAATTACAGGAAGTAGATTTTGATTTAATATTAGGAAAAAACTTCTTAACAGCAAGAGCAGTTTAACAATTGAACCATTTATCATAAATGCTACAGGTCCTTTCAACAGAACTATTCAAGAACTATGTATTGAAAATGCTTTTAATTTGGATTCTAAGGGGATTGGACTTGACTGAATGGAACTTTAGTATTTTTTTAAATTATATAATCCCATGTGATAGATAAATCTAAACACTGCTTACTTGCATGTAATCTCTTATTGTGGCAATATCTATTTCATCTGTTATTCCATGCCTTTTATTCTGAAGCTCATCTTGAAGAATCTGATGATAATACATCCGATATCCCATTAATTTGCAAGCATCAACAGCTGCCTAAAAATATTAGAAAATATAAAGTAAAAATTGATAATATTTTACTAAGAATGAGTTCAGATGCTTAATGGAAAATATTCCTATTCCTACAATAAAAGGGCATTTCCTCTTCCCTCACAAATCTACCCCAACATCTAATTTAGCACATCATGAGAGCCAATATATTGAAAACTTGATAACTCAATGTTCTCTTCCCATACCATTTTTGGGGTGGGCAAGAGGGACAAAATTGGGTAAAATATGGTGACCATTTAAATTCTGCCCATTTAAATTCCCATTTATCTGTTTGTGAAAATCTTTCTTTTTATTATTTTCAGACTATGGAATGAAATCCTTTGTAAATTATATTCAACTTGTATTACTCTGCCTTCCAAACAGTAACCAAGAAACAGCATATTTTAACTGTTACCATATTTCACCATATTTTAACTGATAGTTATTTTAATGTTTGTATTCTATAATTCATTGCTTTAAGTATTGTTATTGATACTAAGCAATATTTTAAAAAAATTACTGAGCAGAAAAACATAACATAAATCAATTAAGTATAGTTTGAGGAATAAATATGATTTTTTTTTACTCTCAAGGTTTACATTTTTAAGGTAGTTATTTACCAAGCAATACCTTAGCACTGTTGTTATAGTTGGATCTCCATATTCATGTATTTTGTGGTAGCAATAGTGAAATTTATTATACTAATATTTTACATCAGTGTTTCTCAACCTTGGCAACTTGAAGATGTGTGGACTTCAACTCCCAGAATTCCCTAGCTACACATATTCAAGTTGTCAAGGTTGAGAAACACTGTTTTACATACAGGCCTGAAATCACACCTGTGCCACCATTTCCACCTCTTCCACTCTTGGCTTCCTGTCGCCAGTGCCAGATGGAGGACTTGTTGAGCTGCTTATGCTCAGATGGCAGGTAAAGCTGTCATCAAATGACTGCTAGAAGAGGTGACGAGCACTCTCTTCCTCTGTCTCCCAGTCTGGATGAAAGTATTTTCTTTTTGGGACTTCAGGCCACATGATTTTAGGTTACAGGTCACATCTGAAGTATATAGACATGCATAAAAACATCTGCGACTATTTGAGCTGGAGTACAGATATTTGTGGAATTTCACATATTTTGCAGGAAACATTGACATTTAACCCTTGAGAATTCAGAGATCCAACTATATTCCTAAAATAACTATTTCTTTAAAAAAACTGAAAGAATTCTTTCACCCTCAAGAACCACTTATTAAAAAGAGTTTTAACAGATATATTAAAAGGTAAAGGCATCCTCAAATCATATTTGATTAAATATTAAATGCTTAAATTTGCAAGTTATGACAAGTATGTTACATGTCTACTCCAGCTGAAATAACATATGATAGATATTAAACATGCAAAAAAAGTTTGGATAAATAGAAAATAATCAAAACCAACAATAATTACCTTACTTTCTGATGTTATTACTTTTTTCCCACTTATATATTGGTTGGTTTTGGTTCTTGATTTACAAAATATTTTAAATATAATAAAAGGGGGGAAATCAGATCCAGCAAATCTGAAGGGAGGAAATAACAAAACTGAGTAACTATTTTCATGGAAAACTTATTTGTTATGTTCTGCCTTAGAAATCATAACTTATTTAAGTGTTTCCTATTGTCAATATGAGTCATAATTAGTTTTAAAAATTTTATACGGCTGTAAATTAAGGGAACCAAAAGAACTAAATTTCTGATTTAAGCACAATGTAGAAATAAATTAGTCTGCTTTCTTTATCATAATCTGAGTCAGCATAGGTACTTTATGCAAAAATTCCTTTTGGTAATTGACTCTATTTGCAGTAAATATTTTCCTGTCATGAAGAGAAACAATTTCCATTTGTCCACATACAATTCCCAAGAATTCCCCTTTCTGAAATTACAACTGGATAGAACATTCTGAAAAATCTCTCAGCAATCATAATAAAAACCAATTCTGAATGTACAGTATAACTTTTGCTTTATCTTTCTTATCAATAAGTGATCAGTTTAATCAGATCAACATATGTATGTGTTAAAGACTACATGTTCACAAAAATTACTGAATAGAAACTATAATATTTCAAACTTCCCATCTGAAAACCTGAATGCTCTCCTATGGCATAAATAAACACTTTTTGATTAAAGAATAAAGATTAAAGAATAAAGTTTTAATCTCTGTTTCTTCACATTTCTTATTTTGCTATTAGTCTGGTTTCTACATTTTTCCTTAATCACAATCTGATCCATGCAATATGTTTGAACAATATGGTAAAAAAATCACAATTGACTTGTTGTGTAGAATATAGTGGCAGTCTCCCTCATACTGTTTGACTCTGCTGCCTATAAAATATGATTGGTGCTTACAATGCACTGCTTCCAGGGGAATTCTTTGTATACAAAAACATTGTCATATTGACAAAAGTAATCTCATACATGGAAACAAGAAAATAAAAGTACTAATTTTACCTGAATCGGACTTTATATTGAATAGTAGGTTCTTTAAGAAGTTCAGCTTCTAAAGGACTCACTCTTTTTAAAATGTCATAGCTAATGCAGTATTCCTGAAAGAAATACAGTATTTACCCAATAATTTGCAATGTTCTATTTACAGAGATATTATGATCACTGTGTGCACAGATTGAGGTTGGTAAGAGAATGGGCACTGGTACTTACTGATATGCCCGTTCTCTGTGAGCTGTGAAGAGCATCCAGTAGTGGGAGGTACTTGTCTCCTCTTGGATAGGCTGGGCTTAATTTGCAGGACACTCCTCCTCCTCCACGGGACTCCTCCTCAGCGTCCCCCAGTTTTGGCGAAATCGAAGTGTGGAAACCTTCTATACTTCACCCTATCTAGCTTTTGGCCGGAATAGTGCCCCACCAGATGGATAAGGGTGGGGCTGTATGCTCTTACAGCTCACAGAGAACGGGCGTATCAGGTAAATACCAATGCCCATTCTCCCCTGAGCTGTTCAGAGCATCCAGTAGTAGGACATGCCAAAGCTTGGACTGTCCTACGGGAGGGCCTCCGTCTAATTAGAAGTCCCTCCTTGGTCCCTGTGGACATTTTGTAAAACTCTCCTACCAAATGCAGCCTCAGCAGAGGCATAAATGTCAATCTTATAGTGTCTAATGAAGGGCGATGGAGAGGCCCAGGTTGCTGCCCTACAGATCTCATGTATTGGTGCCTGTGTGGCCCATGCTGCCGAAGTCGCCACACTCCTGGTAGAGTGGGCTGTTATACCCCTGGGAATTAGCAGTGATTGCATCTCATATGTTTTTGCAATCGTGGCCCTTAACCACCTGCCGATAGTTGAAGAGGAAATCTTACATCCTAGAGAGGTAGGTTGGAATGAAATAAAGAGGGCCTCTTATTTTCTAAAAATTGTGGTGCGGTTTATATAAAAGTGTAATGCTCGTCTCACATCCAGTCGGTGCCTATGACGTTCAAGTCTATGGGCTGGCTGTGGGCAAAAATTAGGAAGGATCAACTCTTGTGCCCTATGGAAGGCCGAATTAACCTTTGGTATAAAGGTTGGGTCTAGTCGGAGGACAATTCTGTCAGGATGGAAAAGGTCCTGTCTCACCGATAAGGCTGCTAGTTTGGAAATTCTTCGTGCTGAAGTTATTGCGACTAAAAAGACCATCTTATAGGTTAGGAAGCGGAGATTCGAAGTCCTTAGGGACTCAAAGGGGCCCTTTGTGAGAGCTGTTAAGACTTTGTCAAGGTCCCAGGTTGGGTATCGATGTATTACTGGGGGTCGTAAGTTTGTTGCCCCTACTAAGGAAACTGAGAATGCGAGGGTGATGAGAGAGCAGAGATCACCCCAAGAGACCGAAACTAGGGCCACCACTTGTCTGCGCAAGGTGTTAGGGGATAATCCCTTGTCTAGGCCATGTTTCAGGAACTCCAAAACCTGTGCCACTGATGGAGAAGTGGGATCAATGTGAGAGTTCGTGCACCAACGACAGTAGATGGACCAAGTTGCATTATGTATATGCGATTTGTAGAAGGGCGCCTGGCTGCTTCGATGGTAGAAATAACCTTAGTGGAAATTTTCTTGCTCCTCAGACGTCTCCACTCAATCTCCATATGGCTAGGTGGAGCCATTGAGGCTCTGGGTGCTGAACTGGCCCTTGAGAGAGTTAGACCTTGTCTGGCGGTATTCTCCATGGTGCTGCAGATGACAGATCCCTGAGGTCTGTGAACCAAGTCTGCTTGGGTCAGTATGGCACCACTAGCAACAACTCCGCCTCTCCTGTAGGAATTTCCAGACCACTTTGGGAATTATAGGAACACGTACAGCAGGCCCGGAGGCCAACTGCAGTGAAGTGCATTGATGTTCTCCACTCCCTGAGAAGGGTAACATGAGATAAACCTGGATAGTTGTGTGTTGTTGGGGGATGCGAACAGATTGATGACCGGTTGGCCAAAACTCTGTGTCGCTTCCAGAAAAAAATCTGGATGTAGGCGCCACTCTGCCTGATCGACTGTGGCCCTGCTGAGCCAGTCTGCCTGGGTATTTGACAGACCCAAGATGTGCTCCGCTTTGATGGAAAGTAAGTTGATCTTGGCCCAGAGGCACAATCTCTCCGCCTCTCTCATCAGCTGTCTGGAATGGGTGCTCCCTTGTTTGTTGATGTGGGCCTTTGTCGTAACATTGTCTGTCAGAATGAGGACCTGCTTGGACCACAGGTGCGGGAGGAAGTTGCGAAGAGCCAGGTGAACTGCTCTGAGTTCCAGCCAATATATACTGCACAATTGCTCTGGTATGGTCCAACGCCCTTGTGCCATGTGAGACCGGTATTGAGCCCCCCAGCCAAATAGACTGGCATCTGTGGTGATGGCCCTGTGGGGGTCCTTGAAAAGACATCCCTTGTTGATAGACGGGACGGTCCACCAACAAAGTGTTCTCAAGACCTTTGGTGGAGGAGTGACACAGGCATTGGAGTTGTCTCTTCCTGACCATTGGTATGGCAGCAGGTACCATTGCAGGGTTCTAGTATGGAGTTGAGCCCAGGGAGCAATAGAAATGCAGGAGATCATTTTCCCTAATAACTTAGATAAAAGAGCTGTTGTAGGGACTGTAAGGTAACAAGAGTATCTGCCCTGGCCTGTTGACAGGAAGATGACAAAATTAAAATATCATCAAGAAAGCACTGTAGTCTGACTGGAGTATTTCGGAGATGAGCGGCCAGGACTGCCAGAACCTTAGTAAAGGTCCTGGGGGCAGATGCTAGACCAAAAGGGAGGGAGATGTACTCAACATGCAAACTGTCATAACAGAATCTGAGGAATTTGCTATGGGAAGGCCGAATTGGAATATGTAAATATGCCTCTGTGAGGTCCACTGACGTTAGGATGTCACGCTGTCTGATGCTGAGTAAAATAGATTGTAGAATTGTCATTTTAAATTTTCTGTACACTAAGGAACGGTTGAGGCGTTTGAGGTCTAAAATTGCCCTCCATCCCCCCAAACTTTTGGGTACCACAAAGAGGTTTGAGTAAAAACCTTTGCCCTGTTGGTCTGGTGCCACTGGTCAGATGGGCTGAATCTCCAATAGGTGGTTGATAGCAGTTTTCATAAGAGATCTTTTCTCGGGGTCTCTAGACCTTGGGCATCTCATGAAAAAGTTCGGAGGGGTGGAGCAAAACTCCAGAGCTAACCCGGATCTAATCGTGTCCCTGACCCAAGCATCAGATGTTGAGGCATCCCACTGATCGGCAAAAAACTTTAGCCTCCCACCAATGGGGGTGTCTAGGTAAGAGTTATTTGGGGCGTTGGAAACCCCTAGTTCCTTCTCCCCTGAACTGTCTCTTGGATTGTCTTCCCCTTCTATTCCTGTCCCCAAATTCAGACCTCTCAGATTGCTGTCCCTGCCGAAATCCGGGGGACCTTTGAAATCTTGGGGAGAAGGGTCCCTGATAAAAGGAACTAAAGGAGCCCTTCTGAAATGGCTGAGAGCTCCTGGAGTCTGACTTCCGAAAAAGGGAAGGAAGGATTCTTTTTTTGTTCCTTGTTTCTATAAGGAGCGGATCCACGGCATTGCCAAACAACTTTTCACCCGAAATAGGCGCTGAGGCAAGGTTTCACTTGTTCTTGGTGTCAGTTTGCCAATGCTTGAGCCAAAGTAATCGCCTTGCTGATACTTGAGATGCGATGGCTCTAGAAGAAAACTTTACTGCATTAAAGGTTGCGTCCACTGAAAATTCCACCGCCGCAGTTTGGCAATGTCCTAGTGTGCCCGTATACTGGAGGATGGGATGGTTTCCTGCAGGTGGTGAAGCCATCTGAGGGAAGACCGTGTGAAAAAAGATGCGGCTGTGGTCGCTCTTATAGCCCACGCATCACATTGATGAGCCCTACGAAGAGCTAGTTCTACACTCTTATCCTCCGGCTTAAGGGCCTCCTCCAATTCACTAGGGATAGCGGAGGGGGAAGCCAAAGCCACTATCAGATCATCAACTGAGGGTGTGTTTAGGAAATTGGAAAACTCAGGGGCAAGGTTATAAAATTTCCGTCAAATCCTGTAGGGGCAGGGATCACTGATGTGGAAGCCCACTGTTTCTGCAGTCGGAAAACATCTGCAGGACTGGTATTACATCAGCCTCATTTACAGGCTGAGAAAAAACTAAGTCATCTGCCTCTTCCTGTGAATTTGGTTGCTGAGGAGAGGTAGTCGCTTTATCAAGGCGCGCAGTTGTCTTGGCCTTGAATAAGAGTGATCGGGGGCGGAGCTGGTGTCTCAGCGGTACAGCGTGCAATCTTGAAGCTCCAAGATTGCCGCTGATATCTCCATTGCAGGACGGTCCCACTGGACCTAAACCGTCCGTAGAGACGGTGACTGAGAAGGGCACATCCTGTCAATCCCAGGGACATCGCAAAGTCCCTTTTGCCGGTGATGGAGAGGCAACCATTCAAGCTGCTGAAGCTGGGACAGCTCCGGAACGGAAGAGATTGAAGGAAAGTGTGTCAGTTTGGTGAGATAAACTTATTATTATTTGAAGAGAACATCCTGCAAGATTTAAAGTGAAATTAAAAGTGAAGAGGAAAGAGTTTAAGCGGCAAAATTAAACTAGTTAAAGTGAAAGTTTTTTTTTCTTTTTCCCTTTTTATTGGAACTTTGAATTTGGTAAAGTTACTGAACTTTAAACTGGACTGGTTTCTTTTAAATTTTCATCCTTGTTTTTATTTTTATTTTATTTTTTAAATAATTTTTTGAAAGTGTTTTGATTAAGACTCTTCTTTTGGATTTGAGTTGTATTTTTTTTCTTCAAAAAAAAAAAAGGAAGGACTCCATTTTCTCTTTTTGTTTCTGGTATTGGATACAAGGGGGGGGGGAGTGAAAGTGAAGGTGGAAAAAAGTAGCACTGCCATTTAGAGGCTTGGACATATTGTTTCTTTCTTTTTCAGTTTGTTTATGTACTTGCTATACTCAAGGACTCTGAGCTTTGCAATGGAAAAGATAGTGGGATGAGCATGGTAGATTGTTTATACAGGTGCTCATCTGTGAAACTAAATAATTAGAGTTTTGAGCTGAAGTTGAAAGAAAGAAGATTGAAGTGACCTTGAAAATACCGGAACCAGAAACATTGAGTTTGATTTATTAAAGAGCCTTGGATACTTAGTGGCAGCAGCTGGCTTAACTCTAGATTATTTTCCATCTCCTTTTCTACTCCCTCCCCCCCAGTTTGGATTTTTATGTTTGGATTTTAACCTTCTATTCCAGAAACTAGAATGTAATTATTATTATTTTACTTTTTTACCTTCTTCCTTTTCTCTTTTCTATTAAGAGAAATAATTGGATTAAGGTACATAAGTGCCTGAAGATTTTTCTTTCCCCCCCTTTTTTTTTTGGAGTGGCAACTGCCTGCCTGTACTCCTTTTTTTTTTTTTTCCTTTTTCTCTCTTCCTTTCTACAGGTAAACACAAGATGAGCAGAAAGACAACAGCACCAGCTTCCTCAATACCAATAGCCTCTTCACCATGTGGAGGACAACGGTCAATACAGACAATCTTACAACCGGAGAAAGAGAAGGAAGTGACATTAAAGATGATTAGGTAAGGAATTCAGAAGATTGAAAAGAAAATGGAGAATATTGAGCAAAGAATTGAAAAGACAGATGAGAAAGTAGAAAATATTCAAGAGATGATGATGCAATATGAAGATAGATTTTTAAAAATTGAAGAAGATACTCAAAGGGACAAGAAAATTGGAGATATTGATACTCGATTAAGTGATATTGAGAAGGGCAGATGCGAACCATTACGATGGGAAATTGACAGATCAGAATTCTACCTAAGATTTCAAAATGTAGAAGAAGGAAAGGGTGAAAATCTTGCTGAAATAATGACAGAAATACTGGCAGAAGCGTTAGAGATAACCAAAGAGAAGATGATGGATGGGATGGATGAAATGTTCCGTGTCTATACAAGATATGCAATGAGAAACAGACTACCAAAAGAAGTTCACATCAGATTCACTAAAAAGATTATCAAGACACAGATATTGCAGGTGGCAAGAGAGAAAACTTTAAAGTACAAAGATAAAGAAATTGTGGTGCTAAAACAGGTACCAAGAAAAGTAAGAGAGATAAGAAGAGAATATTTATTTTTGACCAAAGAGTTACTTAAAAGAGGAGTAAATTACAGATGGCTGATGCCAGAAGGCCTCTTGTTCACCTGGCAGGAACAAAGACACAGAATTGACACAGTTGAAAAAGCTGAGCTATTCTACTTAGAATATTTTAGAGGAAAAGAGGAAGAAGCTAGAAAGGAAGAGTCACTAATTGAATTCCAAGAGGAGTGTATAGCAGTAATTGAAAAAGAAAAAGAAGAAGGTGCAGTAGGTGGTGTACCCAGAGAGCAATGAGAATTAAGACCTACTAGAGCAATAAAAACCTCTCACAAAGCCTAACATGGATGAAAGAAAATTGATTACGATTAACATAAATGGACTTAATTTGGCTACTAAAAGAAGGAAAGTATTTCATAAACTAGAGAAATTGAAATTTGATATAATTTGCTTACAAGAAGTACATATTAAAAAACAACATGAATATATACTTAAATAAAAAAAAATTAGGGAGATTATTTACATCGCTGGCACAATCTAAAAAAAGAGGTGTGGTTTTATATATTAAAGACACAATTTTGGCAGAATTAATTTATACAGATGACAATGGAAGGATTTTGATGGTGGAAATAATGGACAATAATGCTAAAACACTTTTAATTGCAATTTATGCTCCGAATGATAACCAAGAAGAATTTTACAGAAAATTACATATGAAAATAATTGAATTGGACTATGTTAATATTTGTATGATGGGAGATCTTAATGGAATAGTTAATGATCGGTTGGATAACAAAACGCAGAAATCAACAAAGAAAGCTAGAAAGATATTACCAAAATCCTTCTTTCAAGTAACAGAAGAATTCAACTTAAAAGATGCTTGGAGAGAGAGAAACGTGGAGAGTAAGCAATACACTTTTTACTCAAATAGACATGCTTCATGGTCTAGAATAGACATGATATGGATGTCAGCAGAACTACTGGCTAACATACGAGAGAGAGAAATAGAAACAAGCACTTGGGCAGATCATAACCCAGTGACAGTTACTTGGAGAGGATACAAGAGGAGATCCAGATGGACCTTAAATAATACAATATTAAAAGAAAAAGACTTTAAACAGAAAATAGAGAAAGAACTTGCTTTCTTCTTTAAAGAAAATAGAAAAGCGGATACATCTCTACAGAACCTCTGGGACACGATGAAGGCCTACACAAGAGGCTTGATAATAGACTATACAAGGAAAAGAAATATAAAACAGAAAAAGACTTTCAAAATATTAGAGGATGATTATAAAAAACTAGAAAAAGACTTACAGAAGTCCCTGCAAAAAAGACATTAAAAATAAAATGGATATAATTAAACATAAAATGGGACTAATGGAAAAAGAGGAACCAGCACAAAGAATTAAAAACGCTAAACATAATTACTTTGAAGATGCAAATAAACCAGGCAGATGGCTAGCCTACAAATTGAGAAAGGAGAGAGAATCAAGAAGGATTAGTCAACTAATAAATGAAGAAGGACATACATGTTATGGAAATGAGGAGAAGAAAAAAAATATACAAGATTACTATGGGAAATTGTATTTTCAAGAGAATATTTAAGAAGAAAAAGTTAAGCAATATTTACAGAAAGCGACAAATCAGTTCCTTAATGTTATCCATTCCTTTACCCACATCAAATTTGTTGCTTGGTAATACAACTCCCAGTTAGGCAAGGCAAACTCTTATTCTTGTATCTTGTAACAGTTTTAGTTTTATTCTTGCTTTTTTGCCCTGCCAAATATATTTCAACACAATTCTGTTTAAATCTTAAAAAAACTCCTTCCCTAGTCAGATTGGAATTGTCTGGAATAAATATTCATCTTAATTGTACTTATTCTCCCAATCAATGATAATTGTAAGTTTCCCCATTTTGTCAAATCTGTTGCAATCTGCTGTTTGAGTTTAAAATAATTATCCTCCTTCAGTGTACTACATCTTGATGTAATGTATATCCTAAATACTTAACCTTGTTTGTGACCTGTATTTCTAAAACTTCTTCCAACTCTTTCTTTCGTCTTACTAGCATATTCCTTGTTAGTATCTTTGTTTTATCTTTGTTTATTTTCAAACCTGCTACTTTTCCATATTCTTCTATTTTTTCTATTAATTTAGGTGCTGTTTCCAATGGGTCTTCTAATAGAAATACCAGGTCATCTGCAAAAGCTTGCAATGTTTACTCTTCCTTTTGGATTTTCATTCCTTTTATTTCTTTATCTTCTCTAATATTCCTATTCAACACTTCCAATGTTAACACAAACAGCAGGGGCGACAGTGGACAACCTTGCCTTGACCCTTATAGACAATTCCAATCTGACTAGGGAAGGAGTTTTTTTAAGATTTAAACAGAATTGTGTTGAAATATATTTGGCAGGGCAAAAAAGCAAGAATAAAACTAAAACTGTTACAAGATACAAGAATAAGAGTTTGCCTTGCCTAACTGGGAGTTGTATTACCAAGCAACAAATTTGATGTGGGTAAAGGAATGGATAACATTAAGGAACAATAGACTATTGACCTTAGAAGGGCATGACTTGCTGTTGGGATGGCCTGCCTTCCTTTGGTACAAGGGAACTAAAACACAGGGGTATTTTAGAGGACATTATATTCAAGAGGCATTGTTTTTGAATTGGGAGAAGATAAAAAGACAATATTATTTAAAAATTCCACTATTGAAGCTTTTTCTTATCCAATAATATATAAAAGGGAACAAACAGTTAGATATGGTGAGATATTGAATGAAAAGGGTGAACTTAAATCTATGCACGCATTGGAAGAACAAGGTATAAAAATGAATTGGTTTTCATATTTGCAAATACAATCTAGATTTGACAAAGATGTTAAACAGAAGGTATTTATGATAAGTTGACTGACTTAGATAAGATTTTGATGGGTACTGATGAAAAGGTAATTAAAAATTTTTATGGACATTTATTAGAATTTAAATTGGAGGAGGAACAAGTTAAAGAAACGATGATTGCTTGGGGGAAAATTTTTGGATATGAGATTGATTTAGAAAAATGGCAAAAATTGTGGTCTCAAAATTATAAAATGACAATGTCAACCGCATATAAAGAAAATCTGTATAAGATGTTTTACAGGTGGCATCTACCCCTGACGAGACTTGCGAGAATGTTTAAGAATAAATCAGATAAATGTTGGAAGTGTCATCAGATACCTGGTTCATATTACCATATGTGGTGGACATGCTCGGACGTAAAGAAATATTGGACTAAAATCCACACATGGTTGGAAAAAATGATAAAGCAACATATAGACTTTAAACCAGAGATCTTTTTACTGGGAATTATACCGGAAATATACAACAAAGAGTTGAAATATTTGATTGTAAATATACTAACAGCGGCTAGGATTGTATTTGCTAAGAATTAGAAAAATGATAAAATACCTATGCAGGAGGAAGTTATTAAGAAAATTATGGACTGTGCTGAAATGAGTAAATTGACATTTGAAATTAGAGAACAAGAAGATAAACAATTTTATATGATATGGGATTTGTTTCATCAATGGTTGGACAAAAAGGCATGGTAATATAATAGACTAGATAATTTTGTGATAGAAATTGAATAGATTGATATAAGACATAATATTGACATATATAACCATTGGTTGAAAGTATAACATAAATTTTAAGATAAAACTTGGAACATCTCATATAAAATGATGGAATAAATAGTTTAGTCATGGATGATTTATAACTGATAAATATACAAGCATATATTAGTTCGACAATGTGAAAATTGATATAAATTGTGAGTAAATGACAACAAAAGAATAGCACAAAAGATTTGTAACCAACTGACATACTGTATGTAAAAAATGGAAGATGGTTTTATGTTTTTATGTTTTGTATGTGTATGTTTGTTTTTTAATATTTTTTTTTTAAAAAAAGAGCGATCTGAATAACTGCAGGAGAAAAAGTCCCATGAAAATTGGTTGGTCAGGAGTGAGGCCCTCATCTTCTGACATGCCCTTCTTCAGTGGATCTATCTCTGAGAGGGCTGGATCGATGTTATGAGCTGACCTTGCCTCTAGGTGGTCCATCTGTTGTTCTTGACCCCTGAAACCCTTAGGGAGGCATGTCGGGAAAGGTAGAAAATTCCCCTTGGGGATGTACCTGAAGAATTTGTGGGTCCATCTTGATAAGTGACCGGCCTGAATGAGATTCACATTCTGACATAGTGGACTGTCTTCTGGCCCATATCGACTGCTGAACGCCAGCTGCAATCCTGTGTCTTATTGCTAGTTCCATCCATGCCCTCATCCTGGGTGGCACATCCACAGGGAGGGAATAACCTTGGCGGAGGCCACCTGCCTTTGGAGTAAATGTGGCCTCAGGGGCCCGCTGTGGTGCGGCTGCTATGGATGAGGTACCGGGTGAAGGTTGCCTGGCAGAGCTCTGTCTGGAAGGGAAATATCTAGGGGAGGAGGCAGGGGTGTATAGGCCTGGATGTTGCAAGTGGGAGATGGGGTTGGTGAAGTCCGGTCTGTCTCCCTTATATGCTTGTTCATTTGTTTCTCTATAGCCTGATGGTGTCTATGGCGTCCTTCTCCTCAGCCTTTGAAGGCCTATGGATGCTTTGGATTTGCCCAGGGCCCTGGTCATTGTTCTGGAGGTAGAGGCCTTTGAGCCTTTGCCGCTTGCCATTTCCACTATAAATTTGTCAATGAAGCTTTAAAATATAAGGTGGTTGGCACACCCGGGGCCTGCTCCTGAAGGTGCAGGGTATCCTTATAAACTTCTTGTAATCCCCTTCAAATTTGGTATTTGTAGAATTGATCTCCAATCTAATCAATTAAAATCCAATTATCAACACCTCTTCAAGCCAGAACTCAATGGTAACAATGGCCTGCGACAGCTGCTCTGCACAGGCGGTGCTCACCGTGAAGCCACTGGACTTATATTCTGTGCGGGTTAGCCAACAAATCAGGGCCGCTGCTCCGATGCTTCGGGAACAGGGAAGCCAATCCTGTGGTCTCTACGAGGGGATCCCAGTAGCAAACAATAATCCTCTCACAGGTTTTTTTTTTTATATGGTGAATGGGTGCCACGTGGTCAAAATGGTGCCTGCGGCCTGCTTGGTGTGGCCTTGAGAGTCCAGCAGCCTAGTTCCTGCTTGAATCACTGTTCTGAACAGTGAAAAGAGACTACGCAGGAAAGGATAAGAAGCGCTTATGCTTCCAATCCCCTTTGGTGTTGTACGGGGGAAGAGCCTCAGCCATTTAAGAGCCGAACATGAGGTGACTGGGAAATTAAGCAGCTGTAAAATACGTTTGAACTGCTGTTACGATGGCTTTTCCTAAAGAGGAAGTGAGCCCCAATGCTCAATTCTGAGAGAAAACACTGGAGGCTGTAGAGGCTTTGAATTGCTAATTCGATCTCCTTGAAAGTTTATCCCCTCTAGAAAAGTGCTGCTAGTGCCAACAGTCAGAGTTTAAAGAGACCATCGTAGGCTATTGGGACTCCTAGATGACAAAAAAGGGGCCCCTGAATTTAGTGAAAAAGCAAACCTGATGTTTCATTCTCTTTTGTTTTAGCTGCTATTCCGGCCAATCTGGAAAGCTACCTATCTCAACAAAGGCTGAGCTAAAAACTGGGGGACACTGAGGAAGAGTCCCATGGAGGAGGACGAGCATCCTGCAAATCCAAGAGGAGACTGAAGCACCTCCCACTACTGGATGCTCTGAACAGCTCAGGGGAGAAACAGAGAGGCAACAGTATTATTAAAATATCCCAATATTTAGAAATTGAAATATTTGGAGAAATATTTGAACAAGCAAATAGGTCAGTGAGCACCCAGCATACTCAGTATTTGCAAATAGCTCAATGAGCACTCTGCATACTCAGTATTTATGCAGTTTTGAATATCACTGGGATGAGATGTGGGAAAGAGAGTGATATGGAAAATCCTGAAATAAATCATATTATATCACTATTTGGAGGAACACTGAATAACATGATCCATGCTACAATATTAAAGACCTGGTTTTCAAATTTTTCACTCAGAAAAAAGAATATCTGCTTTTTAATACATTTTAATTAGAATATTGAGATATTTATTGGCACTAAGACTACTAAATCATCCCGTCTCTAGGCAAAATAACAGTAATTGAAATATAAGATAATGCTGTTCAACTCTAAAAATAAATTTTGCAATATATTATTTGTAATTACTACAAATGTAAGACAGAGATAAGTGGCCATGGCTGCACAATTTTCAGTGGAAAAAAAGGCAGTGAGACAATGATGCAAAAAAGCTAAATATGTTATACATATAAGAAAAAATGAGACTTTAAAAATGTGGGGATATTTTATTTTTATACTATATAAAATTAATTTAGAATATGTACTATAATTTAAATGTTTCCTCTTTCAATTGTTTTGGAAACAGAATAATTGGTTTCTTACTGCCAATAAAAAATCAGCTCACTGATGAAAATAAATCTTTACTTTCCCATTACTAATGGCAGAAACCCTCTCAAAATTTGTAGCGGGTTGCTGAAAGAAAAGAGTGAAGAAACTGTGATATATGCAAAGAAATGCAACTGGTGCCACTATCAAGCCATAAAACCTAGCCAATATACTGAATATGTATATACAGTTTGCAGGTCTATATTCCTGGAGAGCATATATTGTAAAGGTGCAATACTGCACTCTAATGTATTTTGAATGGTGAAAGTTAAGCTCAGATATGGATCTGCTTTAATTATTAAAATAAATATATCTCTGCCTCCGCCTGCTGCTTGGATGGATGGCCAGGTGGTTGCAACACTCGGACACACCTGCGCTGCATGGGCTGCACATCCCCAGCATGTGCCAGCCAATGGGCTGCTGCTGAATATTGTCAGCTCCTGCACACTTGCCACCTCCTATGCTGACCCCCCACCAGGGCTGATGATCTTAACTGGGGCTTATTTTTGGGGTAGGGCTTATATTAAAAGCATCCTAAAAATCATAGCACTTACTTACTTTCTGGTTGGGTCTTATTTTCAGGGAAACATGGTACATTTATATTTTTACACACACACACACACACACACACACACACACACATACCCCAAACCTTCAGAATTTTAATTTTCCAGATAGCATCAAATTCTATAGTCTGTAATGTAAAGGAAAGATTCAAATTTTCACGTGGTTGGAAACCTTCAACAGAATCAGGGAAAATGGTAAAACAGTTGGATGGCACAAAAGTGAATCTGAAAAAAACATGGCATTTAGCTGAGAAATAAGAGTGCTGACCTTATTTAGACATCAGGCACCATTTGTCAAAATGAATTTTTATCTGACCTGACGGCTAATTGTGGTAGATTCTGGATACGTTTTTGAGAGTTCTGACTTTAGAATACCAGCTCTGAATACATGCTAATAGTTGGAACAATGCTATTTCATTCATTCCTTTAACATGTATGGATCTCTGTTTCATAAACCCCTGAATTTATCCTTGGATGCTATTTTTGTTGTTTTATGATTGTTTGGAAACTTTTGCTTGATATCTGACCTGGATTTCAGTTTAGTTGTTCAGCAGCCTCTTGACATAGCTTGCCACAGATGGTAGTTGTACTGTTTCTACAACTTTGATATTACGAAGCAAGACAGAAACTTTTATACATCAGAAATCTTTATGTTATGTGAACACTACCAACATGTCTGCATGTAGGGGATCTATCTTAAAATATGGTGTGTGGAAAGAAAAAGAAGTTAAGGGGTAGAATAATAATGCTACATTTAGTCAGGCATCACTGTATACATTACCGCTGCACGAACTGTGTGTTTCAGAAGTTTAAATAGTCTTTTTGTCATATGTATCCACCATCTCTTCTGAATTTTTACAGCTGCTTGCTCTCTTTTAACCCTGGTGGAAAAAAGTAAATGTTTCCAACTTTGTGTGCCACTATTGGAAAATTATTTGAACAGACAATTTAGAAGAGTCAAATATTTCTAGACTGAAATTATTAGTAACAAGTCAGACATTCCTATATTGTTTATGATTCATAAACCTTACATGTGATACATATAAGAGGTGTACATCCCAACATCAATAATATTCAGAGCAAATCTAGAATGAGGTCAAATTAGTCTGAGATGATATGGAATACCGCAAGATCTTGGACCAGCCTCAGATAGTATTTCTTGTCTTTACATGGTTTCATTTTTATCCTTCCTTTAACTAGAAAATTGGGAAAGTGAAAAGACATAGCTTTATGATTGATACATCTAAACTGTCTAGCCATGATACTTTAAAAAAAAACCTGAGATATAATTATTTTAGGGATTTTATCTCTTGAGAGATGTAGTAACTGTAATGTTTTGTGTTACTGATCTTAGTGTGACTTTATTCCATTTATATTCCTAATTAGTCTTTTCCCAACATTTATTGAATTCTTTACATCCTGTTTTCCCATATATTATTTTGACAGCTTATCTAGGTTAATCAGTTGGTCAGTCAGTCAGATATTTTATCTCACACTATTACAAGCTTAATTGCATATGATTTGTAATGATAATTTATATTTTCAATAAAAAGGAAACTAATGACCTTATAAAAAGATAAGTAGGAATAAGGGGAATAATTTATGAATTAAAAGGTATATTTATTATTTCTTGGAATTGTTGTATGGGATTTCCCTGAGAGGAGAGGCACATGGAGAAAGTTATTAAAACATATTGACTTTTTCTTTGATACTTCCTTTTCCTTTGGTCTCATTTCAGTCAATCATGCCATAAAACTGTCTCAGTGTCATTATAGTTGTGCTTTAAAAGCACAACTATAATGACGTGGGAAAATACCCGAACAAAGCTGAATACCATACATGTAAGTACCCGCGAAAACTTAAGAATATATGAATATATATATATATATATATATGCCTCTTGTATCTCCCTCATAATTCCTTTCATATTATTATCTACCCATATCTGCTGTCAAATTATTTTAACTTTCCAAATCACCTGAATAGGTCCATGTCCACCTATTCTTTCACTTCTTTATTTCTTATTGTATGTTCCTTTGTATATGGACTAGTCATACCAGTGTATGACTTTGTATTTCACCATGCAATATCAAAACACTTCCATCAGTTCCACAAAACCATAGAACAACTTTAATTATTAAATTATTCCTAATGTTACTGTTTTTTTCTATATGAACATTTTTCATCTTTATTAAAAATATAGAAATAACTTTTATATTCATTGGAAATGTATTTATTTATTACTCATTATATATGAATATAGTGTTAACAATTTTAATAGAAGAATTGCCATATATTTTAGCTGCTTTGGGATAACTTTCCAGTATGTCGATTTCTGGGTTTTTTTTACCATATTAAGCATGGTATTTCAAAACATTTTTTATCATCATCATCATCATCATCACCATCACCATCGTCATCATCCAAATAGTATTATTTGGAATTGTAGGCTATATTATTAGCATTTTTAAAAATGATATTAGCATTTTAACCTACCAGGCTAGGCCTCTTTTCTAACTTCAGGAAAATATGTTTTTGTTTGTTATCCAAGGTTGTTTCTACTGATATGGGAGAACTTGTCTTTTCAGCACTAAGCAATAGAGAGCATAATATGATGAGCACAGTCAGCCAGATGTTCAGACTAATTTGGCATTTTTATCCACCTATCAAGTCCTTCCCAAGGACCTGGTACAAGCAGATGTTGACATTTGATAGTGTTAGAGGTATCATTGCAGGATGTAAGCTGTCCCAAGTGAAGTTGTCTTTTGCAATTGACTGGTGGTGAATTTATCAATGCCAATGGTGTTCAAGTGGTGGTCCAGTTGTTTTGGGATTGCAACCAAGATACCTATTATTATTGGTACTATCTTTGCTCTCTTGTTAAATATCCTTTTCTTGCTGGGTTTGATCTGTAATAACATATGATTATTTCTTTGCTCTGTATATTTGCAATGGGCAAATACCTTTTCTTTCAGCATTTCTGCAGCTGCTGGCTCTGGTTACTCAGCCAATAGTTCTGAATCGTGTAGCCCATTTTTCACCAGATGTCCTGGAACTCCAATACCTAGTGTGATCCTTGTGATCGGGCAATGATTGAGCCAGTATGGGTTTCTATAATTTACATCTCACCACATTTTTTATGAGACACTCTGTCTCATTCCTCTGATGAGACCTGTCCATATGGCTGAATTTCTGGCATAGTTCTCTGAATTATCTTCCACAAAACACACAAGTCCCACAATTATGTCAAGGTGGTGGCTCGCTGACGGTCAAGGTAGGTATTATTATTATTAAATTTATTGCTGCCCATCTCACCGTTTGAGACTGAGTGGAGCAGAACAGTATTCAGAAGTCCTTGAATACACTTAACAGAATAACAGAGTTGCCAGGGACCTTGGAGTTCCAATTCCCTGCTCAGACAGAAAACACTATACTTTATTTATTTATTTGATTTGTCAATCGCTTACAAGATACAGGTATAAGAATAAACATAGTTTTGAATACATGAGATGGATACATATAAGAAGAATAAAAAGAAACAATAGGACAGGGTGCTAGAGCCCACTGACTACATAGCCAAAAAGGCATTAAGAGTTGTTAACCTAATCCTACGTAGCTTCTTCTCTGGTAATATCACACTACTAACTAGAGCATACAAAACATTTGCTAGACCTATACTTGAATACAGCTCATCAGTCTGGAACCCATATCATGTATCTGATATTAACACAATGGAGAAAGTCCAGAAATATTTCACAAGAAGAGTTCTCTGCTCCTCTACTCGTTGCAGAATACCTTATGCCACCAGACTTGAAACTCTAGACCTAGAAAATCTAGAACTATGCCACCTTCAGTCCGATCTAAATATAGTATATAAAATCATACATTGCAATGTCCTACCTGCAAATGAATACTTCAGCTTCAATCATAACAATAGAAGAGCACACAATAGATACAAACTCAAAGTTAACCGCACCAAACTTGATTGCAGGAAATACGACTTCAGCAACAGAGTGGTCAATGTCTGGAATACTCTACCTGACTGTGGTTTCTTCCCCAAACCCCCAAAACTTTAACCTTAAACTGTCTACTATTGACCTCACCCCTTTCTTAAGAGGTCTGTAGGGGACGTGCATAAGCGCACCAACGTTCCTACCGTCCCTGTCCTATTGCTTTTTTTTTTCCTTATTCGTATCCAATTCATGTATTCATAACCATATTTATACTTATACCTGTTATCTCATAATCGCTTGACAAAATAAATAAATAAATAAAATAAATAAATTAACCATTTGAAGCCCCCTTGTGCATGCAGAAACGGCTTTATGTCAATCTATGCCTCCTGTGGGCATAAGGCTTGTCATTGGTTGCTTTCCTGCATGTTATAGGCTTAATTAATGCTCTTGCTAGATGTTATATTAGAGGGTGATTTTAACCGTGCTAGTACAATGTAGGTACTGATGAATCAATATGAAATGCTTGCATCTACCTCTGTTCCTCTTTTGGTTGTATTATTTAAATTATTAAAAAAAGACTAATTGTTTTAATTCTTTTGCTTCGCCTGAATTACTTGGTGATTCATATTTTCAGGTGGGCAAAGAAGCCCCTTTGTGTCTCTCAGATCCAGGCATCAATTTCTTATCAATTCTGCGCCACATTCAGGTTCCCTGAGTTTGGTGGCAACAAAGTAAGTTCAATTTCCATGCTGGAAAGTGACTATTGATTTTTATTTTAGGCAAGTATGCTAGATCTAACATATAGCTTATATGATTTTGTAAACTACAAAGAGAACACATTGTCGTCCATAACAGAGTTCAAAACCTGGCTTATGCTATCCCGGTGTCATATTACAGTCAAACTCCTGGAATAACAGAGCGGAAGGTTTACCTCTGTTTTTCCTTTTCCTTTTCGTTTAGGACGAAAGGCGATCTGGGTGTATCGTTCCACATCATCCCGCACCTTTGGCTGGCAGCATCTCCAGTTCAACCGCTTTTAGCGGTTGCCTAGATACTAGACGCTTTACTTAACAGCAAGCAGGACAAGCAAAACCCCCCTCTGAATAGTGCTTTTTTTTTTTTTTTAAGTGGCACGTAACGTCCGCCGTCTTTTACCGTTACAGTACCCGTAGATCAAGCGCATACGTTTTACGTCATCAGCCCTGGCCACACATCAGGAGAACACATTTTCACCGCTATGTTCAAGGTGAGAAAGTTTCCTTAGTACTTTCAGGAACAAAATTGGCGACATAGTCTTCTCCATCGTTGGTGCTGCCCACGCAACGTGCGTGTTTTGAGCTGTCTGAAATCAACTGTAGAATAATACTTACTCTTTGGGCTTTTGCTTGTTAGTTGGAGAAAGGCTAGGTGAAGAGGGACGGGATTGCACTCGTGCAGGTTTATCCAGCCTCGAACGCCAACATTTGTTACCGAATAAATAAATAAGGAACGGTAAGAGAGGAGAAAAGACGAGCGCGTAATGAGATATGAACAGCTCAATCACTAATAAAGCGATGATCGATAAAACTAAAGTAACACTTCCGAATGTACAGTTGAGTATTATCTTTATTAGAATTAGGAAATAGTCACAAAATGTTAATTCTTTCTCATGTTAAATGATGCAAAAATGAAATGGAAAAAAGACTAAAACGCCTACATTTTTTAAAAAGTTAGTTCAGCTGCTGTATTTAAAGTTGATCGCAAGATTGAGCTAGACGAATGAATGAATGCATCCAGAAGTCCTGAACCATAACTTCCATGGTTCCTAGCCAGTATTACGTTTGCATATCTAGAGGACATAGATTTGGAGAAAGATGTAGTAAAAGGAACTTCTTATTTTGAAAACATGTTTGTCTTGTAGA